AAAATAGTTAGGTCAATGATGTAGAATCAGATTAAAGCATTTTGAGTCATTTGGCTATGGACTGAATTTAGATTCAATCAGCGATTATATGGACAAATTGTGTTATATAAATAATTGACACCTTCGCTTGGTCCGAAAAAATAGTGTAAAAGAATAGGGGATGTACCATAATTCTTTCACACCTGATTATATCAATAAGGATCGATAATTTCTGAATTGAGAACTTTTTTTTGCATCTTTCGGAGGGTCGAATAATTATTTCAATTAGCTGAATATAAGGAGAGAATGATTCACCATTTTATATAAACTGGAAGGAATTTAATTAAGGGGACAAATTGAAGACATCAAGTGTGGCGTTAAATTTAACGTTTGCGCGTATAAAAAACCAACAATCATGTAGAAGCGCAGATAATGAAGGGAATACTTTTTCTTATTAATAAGTGCCAGTCATTTGTCAGATGCAACAAAGGAGTATATCGATTGCGCAGAGCAATATCTCATGCCCTATACAATTGGGTTTTTTTATTCTTCGATAGAAATCGTAGGGAAGTCATTCAAGATTCTCTGTGGAAAGCATGTACGATTTCTGGGATTAGAAAATGTGGAACGATAGGTGTTCCACCTGAAAATCAAGTTGAGATAATTTCTGGCGAAACTGGCCACGTGACTCAATAAACGATTTGAATTCTTCAAAATGTGATGTTGAAATTTCAAAAGTCCGACAATGTGATTCAGTATGACACCTAACCTAAAAAAATAGTTTAATCTAAAAAGCCGTTTTTGTATCTACAGGGTGTTTCATAATTGAAAGCTGATCCTGAAGGGCGATAATCCTTGGATGATTTTAAGGAAAATTCTTCATGTGAACAAAGGTCCGTAAAAGCTTCGTTTCTGAGATGTTGAAATTTAACAAAAAAATCAGTTATTCCCCAATATCTCTGAAACCGCTCTGGCTTTTTTCTTCAATTTTGGTACATGCCAAGTATGAATAGAAATACAATTTTTCCATAATGAAGGATTTCTTAATTTCCATCAGTGGCGTCCCTGTTAACATACCCTGTTATATTTTTCATAAAAATAATAATACGCCACTGTCTTTTTTCCAAATGAATATTATTTTTGTAATTATCCTCTATCTTCTCATGAAAATGGTCCCTTGTCTTTTTTTCGTCCGGCGAACGGTTTTTGAGTTAGAAAATAAAATGCATTCATTTGCTTGTCCCTATTCGATTTTTACTCTTGGTCATAATTTCACAATTGTGGTAACCAAAAGATCTAAGCAATATTTTTATAATTTTATGGTAACTATTTTTGAGTATTTGTAATGAAGAAAAAAGCCAGAGCGGTTTCAGAGATATTGGGAAATAACTGATTTTTTGTTAAATTTCAACATCCTGTATCTCAGAAACGAAGCTGTTACGGACCTATGTTCACATGAAGAATTTTTCTCAAAATCATCCAAGGATTATCGCCCTTTAGGATCAGCATTCAATTATGAAACACCCTGTATATGTTTCCATTCTTCAATTATATTTATACCTTATTGTAATATACTTATACTTAGTAACATTCTCTCACACACAAGCTGGCCTTATAACTTATATTCTGAGTATAGGTTTCGTGAATATAACGTTTATCTATCGGATGTACATATTATCGTATTAGGTTAAGGTTGATGTTATTGCTTGATTAATATCAATTTCGATTTATTCTATGAATGAACTATATGATTATTATTATAACGAATCGACTCGTGGCATCTGAATTTTGGTTGCGCAGAAGACAAAATGTCAATGTCATTCGTGATCAAGTCACAAAAAAGCAGAAATCTAAGATCTAAGTTAGTAGCAGAGCGTCAATATTTCCGAGGCAATCGGTTGAGTAGTTTTGGCGTGAAATAAATTGACATTCAAATATTATAATTTTAGTTAGTAGGCATTCGAACTTTTTTCTCAAAATTTAGAAACAAATAATACATCTTCTCTGAAATGCTCATTGAATTCGATAATAATTATAATGATATATACGCTTCGCTATGAGTCTGCTAGATATACTGTGATATAACATCTTCGAATCTGAGAATATTGTACAAGAGGAGTTTCAGCAGGATATTTCAAGCTTGTCAGTTCAGATTTGAACTCTCCTTTTTCCTTCGTATTTCTGTGCTGTACGTTTTTCTTCCCACTCAATCATTCACAATTTATGTCACCTACATAAAATGAAAATATTTTCTATCAAATTTCACGTTCACTTTAAGCTTCAACAGAATTACTGTCATTCAGGGGAATATTTTCAATCAACATAGGATTATCGATTCCAGTGCCCGTTGTTGGTTACTCCGTCATAATAAAAAATTTAACCATTCTTTGAATCAGCAAAACGGTATTCACACATTCTATGAGATGGAAAAATTGAGAAATTAAAGAAAAAAAAATTGTGCATCGCATTTGGACAAAACATATTTTTTCTGTGACGGGAAAAAAGTTTGTCATTTCATCTCTGTTGGCAGGTTATAAAATGTCACTTTTCATAAATTACTTTTTTCCCGTGGGAAGAAAGTGAGTATTTTTTTCCCGGATATATGTCACATATATATATATACACTGTTGATGGCTTTTGTTGTGTTATAGTTCCGAAAAATGAGTCAATTATACCGTCTCCGAGAAAGATTTGCAAGTCCTTTTATCTTCCATTCGACTTCGCGGTGACGTAAATTACTAAAAACACACTAAATTCTCAATTTTTCAAAATCATATCGCAAAATTAGACTGATAGATATTTGATTACTTCAAAGGAATGATAAAGATGCCTGCAAAATGATACCTGCAACGTAGGTGTCACTTCTGTTAAAAACTTCAAAATTCACTTCGATAATTTTCTGATTTTAATTCAATGTAATATCTTCTCAATATCAATTCGTTTTTTGTCACAAGCTGGAGCTAAAATTTACTACTTTTTTCCCTTACATAATAAATAAGTATTTTTTCTGATACAGACATCATAAGTGTGTCATTTTTGAAGACTTCCAAATGTCATGCGAAAGTAGTCTATTTTTGAACAGAGTACAAAAAAAATCTGCACGTAATTCAATTACAGTAGAAAACAATGAAAATTGGACGTTTGTTCTCAAAAAGTTGAGAATGAATGGTATAATTTTTATATTTGGAAGAAAGTAATGATCATGTAGGTATTGAACTCGAATATGAAGACTATTTAGGACTATTTTTATCGAGCTTTATATTCTCGTTGTATGAATAACTATTTTTACATGAAAATCCCTGTCTATAATATTCTTTTCTTAGAACCAGCAGTTTTAGATGAAAAAGCTTGAAATAAAATTCATCTCGTGAAAGTATTGATATGTTCGATAATTTGGATAGTCTTGTAACTCCTGTATAATTGGGAAAAGCGCAACCCACGAGTTAGCTTCAAATTCACATGTTAAAATGAATCTCATGCCATTGGATCCTTTGATGAGCCTGGATGCTTTGTCGAGATGTTCATTTCTTGAAAATGGAGATTCACTCTGCTTCTCTAATTATCCTGACGAGTACGAAAAAAGTGATTTCTGATTTGATCGGTTCATTTAGAACCACTAGAAAATTGTCAACAGAAATTTTATCTGCATTTTCAGTGAAATTACAGTTCCTTTTTGATCATTACATACTCAATTACTGTAGAATTGAGATTTTGTCTTCAGTCAGCTTAATTTTTCCTCACGATGGTAGATAATCTCAACAAACTTTCAAACATGATTTCAATAACTTGCTTTAATTATTTTTCAAATTTCAACTCATTCAGAAACTCTCAATCAGGATTATTCCAGAACGACATGGAAAAAGTTGATATCATAAGATATATCTCGATTTTCTGAATATTCGGAATAATTATGTCACTTCATTCTTCACGAAATTGTGATGCTGGTACGGCAACACAATAGAGTTAACAGAAATACAGGATAATGAAAGGTATTCAAAACAGAGTGGTATATTGCTAGACTATTTCACGTTCACAAAGCATAAAAAGCGTTATTACAAATGATTGATTCATTCAGACAAGTACAGCCATCATTATTCTATGCCAAAGTGACAGACTTTGCTCCGCTATCCATGATTATATCGGTAAAAACATCACCGCTCATAGACCAATCAGAATTCAAAGACAGCTAATATTTCCATAAGTGATATCACGATGCTCTGAATATTCGAGATAATACTGTCTCTTCATTGTTCACGGAATTCTCTTGAAAAAATTTTAGTTTCCTTATTCGCCAGCGGTTTTTGTAAATCACGAATGTTTGAGATACTCCACCATTTTTTTTTCAATTATTGGGATTTTCAAATATTGCACTGTATACTATAGACCTTTAGCTACAAAATGACGTCCAGAAATTTGAATTCGGTTGAAAAATGATGAAACCACGAGAAAAATACAAACTTCTGTTTTTTTTTTGATCACCTGATAGATAAATGTAATTACTTATTTGAACTTAGTTCTCAATTCTAGTCACTTTTTCTTCCTAATAATTTTCGATATTATTGAAAATAAAAGTACCTACTTCACTCTTGGGCGAAAATAATATTTTTTGACTTTTCTGGCTTTGCAGAACTTTTTATGACTGATGGAGTATATATGAGGAATTCAGATGTGTACAATCATATGCCATTGTGATATTTTAATTTGTTGAGATTGAATCATTATTATGTTAAATAACATGTTCTAACTGTGCGTTCTGCTTACCGTGCGTAATGGCATCAATCTGTCCAAAGATTAGTGAAAATACTTCACAAAAGATAAGAATACATTTCTTTTTCAACAATTTATGTATGACTTATAATTTATATTTCTTCCTAGAGACTACTATAGTAGGTGTGTGTATGATGATCATCATAGACTCTACGTGTTTGAAGGTAAACCACATTCTGATTTTTTGTTTCAGGGAAGAGGAGATACAAACAAACAACATGAATCCCATCAAGTAGAAGCCAAAACAACAAAAAATGGCACGCGTCCATCGCAACCTGCTGATACTGACTATGCTCATTCTCAGCGCAAAATCCCAAACAGACTCCAACAACAGTTTCACTGAAGATACCCATCATCAGGAAATACCCAATGAAAACCCAACAGCAGAAGAAAGAAACACGAATTTCAACTTGACGAACACGTCCAGCGAAGAGTTCGAGGAGCTGACTGATCAAGACATCCTGGACTACATCTATCCGAAGTCCTGGACATGGGCTCTGATTTTCTTTCATTGCGTGGTATTTTTGGTGGGACTGGTGGGAAATTGCTTGGTTTGTGTGGCGGTGTACAAGAATCACACCATGAGGACGGTCACCAACTATTTCATCGTCAATTTGGCAGCTGCTGATTTTCTGGTTATACTCTTCTGCTTGCCGCCGAGTGTTGTCTGGGATGTGACTAGTACTTGGTGGTTCGGGTCGGCCATGTGCAAGATCGTGCTCTACTTGCAGGTGAGTGTCAGATTTTCGCTTATTTCAGCTGAATATTCGTGTTCGAGAAAGAATTTCCGGTTTTTAGTTGAAGCTATATTGGTATTCGATGAGAAAATTTCACAGTGAAATATTAAGGTGCGAGATTACGCTAAATAGAACAGAATGGAATAGAATGTGTTTATTGAAAACATGAGCAATTACAGAATTCTTCATTAGATACAGTAACACACAAAATTGACTTACTGAAGTGAAACTTGTTAGTAATACAAAATACCGACTTCAGTTATGCAAAATATAAATAAGGCAGAATGTTCGTGGAACATCGTGCGTATACCTAGGGAGGCTAGGGATTGGATGTGGTTGTTATCTTCTGTTCCACTGATTCAAATATTATTCCACTCTGCCATATGTTGTCTGTTTTCAGTAAGGATATGTTCAGAAGAGGAAAATCAAGGAATCTGCTTGCATTCTTCTGAACGGAGACAATAGCATTGCTTCTTGTTCAGTTGATATAGATAGAACATGGTATTCACTACTGAAATCTGAAAATGAAAATGGTGAATTCTTCAATTAATGAAAACATCCTGTAACTCATATGATTGCCAACGTCATCAATAGTCACTGAGAACTGAAAAGTTTCAAGACAGATACGAATTTACTATTCGAATACCCATTTTTTACGTTGAAGACGGAAGCAGATTCGTTCTCGAAACATCCAAAGCTAAGTGAATATTTGATATTTGTTCTATACCTCGTTCTATACACCTTTATTTCTCTTCTCCAAACCTTTTTTAATACAAATTGTCACTGACAAGCTAGTGAATTTTTCTTTCAGGCTCTCTGATAGGAAAATTCTTTAAACGCAGTGACATTTTGGGGAAAATCATCTGATTTTTCCTTACTATGTATATTGAAATAATATTCATATTTTCATTTCGAAGAAACAGGGAGAGAATCTTTAATAATAAATATTATTAGGTCGAATAAGATGTGATTAAACGACTTCAGTTACTCAGAATGATAAAAAATGAGACGATAGTAGCTGGATTCCTCAGTTCTCAAGAAATTCATCCTTCTAAACTTGGTAGAAATATATTTTTCCACAAGAAACTTTCAGTACCATCTAGTATCAATGAAATTTGCTAACGAAATATCATCAGGCTGAATAAAATATGATTAAACGTCTTTAGTTGAAAGAAATAATGAAAAATAATTCGATAGTAGCTCAATATCCCAGTTTTTCACAAATTCATCCAGATAAAGTTGGTAGAAATATACTTTTTTTCACAAGGATTTCGTCAACTTATAGAATTAATTCGACGTCATCTGAACTTGAATGTAAATGTCATTTTACTTGTAAGCATAAAAAAATTCCAGTGTTCGTTTTTCAATTTATAATTCGATCAGTCACTAACATACACTTAACACATCGATCTCTAACATGGAATTCAGTCAGCACATCCCTTCGTCGTCAAACTTGAAAAATATCGAACAACACTCCACCAAAACTAGTTCGTCTATAGATCGGCGAAGCTTTGGAATTCTTTCCCATGAACTAATAACTTCCAAAAGTTGAAAAAAAATTGACACCTACCTCCACGAACATTTTAGGAATATCCTGTCGTGCGCTCCGAGAGATAAAAAAAATGCACCTACAGTGTGATAAAATTTGGTCCACCCCACACCTTTACCACCCTTTACTTTCGTATTCCTTGCACGATTCAATTTTCATTTTTTGGCGAAGGAACATTTTCACATTTTGGTGGCAGAAAATCATTCACCATTTCATTGTAGGAAATGAAGCTCATCCTGAAGATTCAATTCAACATTTTGAAATGGTTCAAAATCATGTTCGCGTTACACACAAACGGACATACATACCCAAACTAATATAAGCGTGTTAATTTTAAAAGCTTGTGCAGCTATAACTACTATTTCATTACATCAGTCACAGTCTCGGAATGGCTATTACCACACCAAATCCCAACTTTACGCTCATCATTTCCTGGTTCTCATTCGGAAAATAAAATTCCTAGAAGTTTCTGGATTCCTTCCTAGAAATTCATAATATCCAAGAACTGAAAAGGATTTGAATCATTCAAAGAATTGCAGGCTAATTCCAAAGTAGATATATCTGGACATGACTCGAAAATCTCGTGAGAGCTTCCTTTTCTCGGTGCTCGTTGGTATGCTTTGAATAAGAAAGAGAAATAGAAATATATACTATTATGCACCTAGGGTATGGAGTGAGCTATATAATAGCATTCTCACCCGAGGAATGAGGATATAATATTTTTTTACTTCTTACACTGAAAAATTAACATCTTTCATCAATTCAGATGTTCATTTCCTTTGATGGAGCAATGCCATTCACCGTGTTTATTCAGCATTGTCCAACGTATTCCTAAAATTTTGATATATCAAGTATAGCCGATAGGAGTTCAGTTGTCAAACAAACTGAAAGGGAATTCGACTTGATGCTCTCATGAAATAAATGCTGTACTCCAGGTGAAATTGGGAATTACGTCAGAAGTGAGGGAATTCAATTGTCATGAAGTTAAGGAGGATACTGATAAATATCGAAGAAGATATTAAAAATACAATATTCATTCAAATGTTTCGAAATATCCAAACCTCATGAATATCGCATATGATACCATATATCAGTCGTATCGACTGCCATAGCTGAAATTGATTCGATTGGTCAAAAAATGTGTACATACCGGAAGTCATGGTTATTTGAATTCTCGGTCTAACCTAGTTCTGTAATAGCTATTTCATGCGTCTTCTTGACATAGTCTATGAATTCGTGCCAACAAATTCAAAAGTTATTCGTTCTGGCTGCTCGATATCGTGCTGCTCGATATTTATTTCGATCGAACAACGACGGAATAAGATGACAAGAAGGGAAATCGAACAAAATGGCGGCATAGTAATGTTGATTTTTGAGCTTATTCAAATTATTGTCTTTCTGATTTTCTCACCCAACAACTAGTGAGTGAAAATAGTGAAAATAGTGAAAATTTGTGATTAAAATGGAAGAGAATTATGTCACTGCCGGAAGGATTTTTAAATTGATTCAATGAATCATCGATTTCAATAAGGTACAGTATTTCTTCTTGTCGTTGAATCTATGCAAATAATGCTATTACATTTCCATATTCCATGTGCTGAAAATTTTCAAAATTTCGTCACAATTTCAAAAAGTGGGCTTACCAATTTTCCATTTTCTTGAATAATCATTGTATTCTTTTATTCTGGTTAATTCCGTTCTTTGCAGAACTATTCTATCCTATCCCACAGGTTAACAACAACACGCACCTAGTGGCAGCTCATGTATGATCCGTGTTTGAGAATGTTTGAGAATGTTTCTTTTTTTTTTTTGGTGGACACGCATCGGTATCATAGTGTGTGTATACTGCATATATCATTGACAACATCATCAGTTTTATCTACCTAGGTAAAATGTCTTCATCAGTTCATCATTGAATTCAAAACGTGTTACCTACTTCTTTTTCGAGAAAATCCTTGAATAATTGTGATTTCTCAGGTTAGTGCTGAAAAAAATATATGATCATTGCTCGAGTGCTGTAACCGGTGAACAGAACATCCTGTATAGAATCTAATGGCCTATCACATATCTTTTGTTTCATTCGGGCTGTCCACCAAATATCAATCTATTATCTATTCCAAAAGATTTTGCCATGCTTTGAAAACAAAAATTCTACCTACAACAATTCAATCAACTTTCAATTATAATCTCAATCTTCAGGAAGGTCTATGAAATCCTCGTAGCAACAAGCAACATCAGAAGGTGCTTTGACTGTCGTTGAGTGATAAAACGGCCTTTGTGAAAAGTGAACAATCCCTGATTTGAATTTCCATAAGTCGCGTCAATCAATTTTTATCACGGAAACACCAAGTGGGCGCTTTCAATTTTAATTCCGTTCCATTTTCCATTTGGTTTTCTGTCCTAGAGCCAATCGGCCACATGAGCGCCGGCAGATATCAAATTTCGCACTTCAATTGTCAACTAGAACATGAACAAAGTAGTCGGAATGTCTTTCCATCTTCGGAGGCACCAGAAAAAAGTTGATTCGACTCGGACGAATGAAAATACGTATATATAGGACGTTTTCTCACGAATAGAGATAGAAGTTCATCGAATGAATCGTCCATGTAATTATCAAGCTGGTTCAAATTACTAAAGTCATTCATTTTGATAATGGGATAACTGAACTATTTTGATTGGAGGATATTTTGCTACACATAATAAGATTTACAAGATGTTCCTAAATGACATATAGATTCCTTGCTTTTTTTCTATAAAGACATATTTCTGAAAGACTGGAACCGCTTCGTCAAAGCTTTGGAATTCTTCGCCAACTATTCCCAAAAGGACTTATAATCTCCAAAAATTAAAAAAAATCAACATATACCTCCTATCCCTATTCTCCCTAGGTGCGAAAAATCTACTTTAGCACAGATACAGCTAGTTTAAGAATACTGTTCTCATATATGGGGTTCAACGCCCAAACATACGCTGATGCTCTTAGATTCCATCCATAGAAAAGCCATTCGCCTAGTGAGTGATGCTACACTCGCTAACTTATTGACTTTATTGAAACACCGATAGAATCGACGGAAAATGCTCCATTTTTGTTCAGCAGTTTCCTAGTAATGAAATAAAACTCATTATTTTGAAACTTTGTTACATGAAAAAAATCAATAGGAACTTTTAGTTGTAAAATGAACCAAGGAATTACCTCCTTCAATATGTAGGTACATGCCATTAAGTAACACCCTGTATATTTTCAGATAATTATATCATCAGAATGAAGATGGAAACTTTCCCAGATTCATTTATGTGGGTAACTGTCTGTAAGTCATCTACGCTTTCGTGGACTTTTGTAATCGCCATTTTGTTCCTGAAGTGACTTCGCTTGAGTAGGTAGTTACTTGAAAACT